ACAATTTCAAGCAGAACATCAATAGCAAAGTAGAACAGGAAAGACGAAAGAAGGCAGCCTTATATTACACCACTGGACGTGGCGAACTCAGGCGAGAGCTTCGCATATACTCGTACGCCTCCACAGGAATTCGCATACAGTGCCCTCATGAGGGATATAAATTTGGAAGCGGCACCTTTGATCATGAGACCGCCAAAGTTTCTGGCAATCGATGGCGTCAAAAGTAGCTTTCAGATCAAAAAATGACCAACGTTGGGCGTTTGAAGGATTGATGCTGTTCAAGAATCTGTTTCAAGGTGAAGATATAGTCAATGAATCCTTGGCCCGGATGAAACCCAGCTTGATTCTCGCGGATCTCTCGCGCCATTCGATGAACTTGGTTGAGGAGGGTCTGCTCTCAACTTTCAAAACTGTTTGTCCAAGCCCTCTGACTCGACCAAATGAATACTGGATATCCTCGAGATCAGCGGATCTTATTGCTACCAGAAAGGTCATACCAGCAACTACCAACTATTATGGCGCACGCATATCCCTCAAACACAAGATAATCGGGAGCTTGGAGAATGACGGTGGAAGTTGGTGAATTTCGAAGGTCCAAGGGATGAAGGAGGCTTTCGCTGAGGGCAACATCCGCGCCGTATTTCATCTGTTTCGATCAACCGGTCAAAAGAAGACAAGTGTGAGCGAAACGATATGTGAAAAAAGACCCAACGAAAATTCAGTCCCTCACCCGTCATCTAGAGCGATTGGCTGAACGCTACAAAGACCACTGCGGCTAGTGTGGAATGCTTGATGTATTCAAGGAAGCCCAACTGTCTGACCCGCGAAATCACAGGCCAAGAATTGCGAAGTATTGAGATTTATTAATAAAATGCGGCACTACATGTACAAAAATATGTATATGCAAGAAACACAAACCTCAAGCTATGGGGATTCCCGTCAAAATTGTTGGTGCAAGTCCAATGAGAGCCGGAAGACGACGGTAAATTAATCGGAATTAGCGATAAACGTGCGCGCACAGCACATGGTAACGTTCGGTGAAGTCGGTTCGACGTGTCAAGGGGTAAAATTTCACTAGGGATCGTGGGTGAATATTGAACACTGTCATCAGCCCGCCACCAACAATGGAAATCCAGCGTGAGTTGTCAATCCTGAAGCGTGGCAAGATATCTGGCGCGGATGATCTGCACTCAGAATTCTTCAAAGAACGTGGTAAGGTTCTGGTGAACCGTCTGACAATTATACAGCAAAAGGTTCGGAACTGAAACAGAATACCAATCAAACGGAGCTCCTCGGCTGTCATCCCAGTTTTCGAAAATGGCGAAAGAACGTAAAGCAAAAACTATCGCAGCATCAGCCTGGTATCCATCGCATCTAAGGTGCTCTCTGACATCGATGAGGATGATGATGATCGTAGGAACGCTGGTGACAACGGAGGTGTCAACCTTCGCGGTTGATCTAGTCACTAGCAGTTTTACCATACTCTATGCCTCAATAACCTAAGGTCTTGTGACTGGCGTGCGCATCAAAAAGTCTCCCACTGTGACCTTTCCTGGTTTTGCTAGTAGGTCCATGGTATGAAAAGAATATTCTTTATTCGCACCGTCCAACGTTCCCAAGCTGTTGTACCAAGCGAGGCTACCGTTCACATTCGGTCTAAGCAGCTGGGCACAGGAAAGCCGTGTGGTTTACCAATTGTCCACTTATTCCTTTATTCTTCCATTTCATTGATGGAATGCTCCAAATTGTACTTGGCACATGAAGTCCGACGCGGCTGGAAGTGTTCGCCTGTTTGAGCGTCTGAGTCGAATCCAAACGCTAATCACGTCCGAGTCTCGCAATCCGTCTTTTCGTGACGCAGTTTGGATAGCTGTTTGCCTATCGCTCTCATCTGCGGGATAGGCAGACAGACACACAGGCTGGGTGTGTGTAAATACCACTCCTTTTGGCCAAATAAACGGACTTCAGTTGTCTTTGTACCACACCAACTCATACTCATGCCCATATTTGACGTTGCCCGGCTTTAACGATCGTTTGTGTTCGGTTGTTGTGGCAAACGTTTTTTTCGACATCAAGATAACATGCGTTAGGGCTACAAAGTATCGCCGATCGAACGTTGCCTTTCCGCGCTGCTAATCGCGGAATTACGACCGGTTCGGTTTGTTTCGTAGATTCGACTCGGACATCCGCATAGAGTGTTTCGAATGCGAACTGTTACGTATTAACCGACTTGTATGCGTTCAATTGCCCGGCACTAGCCATGCCGCAAAGATCATTTCACACAATCAGTTCGCTTCGCGTGTAAATATCCATTGTAAAATGCTGATGCACCTAAGAACAGGGGGTCACACAACAAGAATCTGTGGGTTGTTCCATTAAAAGTAGTATTCTTGAACGCAAATCGTATGATTACAACTCAATGCACCTATATTCTTCCGAGGAAAAGTTGGATCTGCGCATAGACGTAACGCACTACTCCCAAGGTTGCTGATCAGTGCTTTAAAAATTCTTTTAATCATTCAGCTGTACCACAATTTTCGTGCCTAGCTGCCATGCCACCAGAAGAAAGTACGAGGTCTGGGAAACTTCCAGGTTGCCCAAGCATAGACAGGGGAAGTCGAGAGGCAGAAGTCGGGTTCGAACTACGGACCTTTCGGTCAGTAGATTCACGCTCTACGCACTTGAACCACTAGAAAGCAGCGGTGATTCAGAGTCATGACGCTAAATTCGGCCGGATTTGTTGTTGGTGCTCAAGCCCGGATTTTTCAATTTGAAATCAGTCTGTCTGCAGTCAATTCACTTCATGTGGGTTGAACGAGTTCCTGTTGTAGATGCTTGTGTGGAGAACGAATCTTACAGTAGTAATAGTCTTGTGTGACCGTTTGTACACAGTGCGAGTCAGACACGTACTCATCTTATTGATTCTTACGAGTGTGTATCGGTGACTGGTACACATGAAGCACACATTGTAACGTTGTTTATTCATATGCATCAACGGTCACGAACACTTCATGGTTTTTCGCTTGAAGTTCGTCGCTGACCGAGAGGATAGAAAGCCACTGCTAGCCGGATGTGCTTGCTTCGGATGCGTCTTGTATTCATCCACTCACAGCGCTGTCTGTAGGATTCAACTGTTTGATTGCCCCAACCGGAGTTGACGATCCTGTGTTATTGACCGGTCATACTTCTGTTAGTGAAACTCTGAGGGCGAGATGGCCCAAGTGGTTAGAGCGCGAATTTACTGACGGGAAGGTCCGTGGTTGGAACCCGACCTCTGCCACTCGACTTTCCCTGTCTAGGCTTGGGCGAGCTGGCAGTACCCCAGCCCTCGTGCCTCCTTCGTGTGTCATGGCAGCTAGGCACCGGAAGGGTGCTACCAGTTCTATCAGTCCTTTCCGCCTTCCAGCCTTCGCCCCTGAAATCCACATGCAGCCTGTTTATATTGATTCACACAGGCAGGCTATTGGCGGTTCAACATGTCGTTTACGGAAATAGCATCCAAATACCTAATTTGACAGAATAGTTGGAACGTTACGTCAAGCGGCAGTCATGTGGTGGTCATTATTTTCTCACTTCCGCCAAGTATTTGGGTTATGGGGAGGATAACCTTTACTCTTTCTTTACTGAAACTGCTGTTGGAACTGAGAATCGTGATGATCAGCTGATCAGCTGACCAAAGTCACTCGATTGTTGCGCATCTCTTCCGCATGCGCAATTGCAACGGTTGCATTTGCCTTGCGTGTCTGTTATTCTTTCCATACCAAATAAGAAAATTTATGAAAATGATTTGAATTAGAGCAGAAGAGAATTAGATGGGCGTATGATTTACAAATTTCTCTGCCCGACGGTTTTTGAGACAACCCTAGAGTTGCACAGGCAAAGTGGGCTTGTGCGCGTCACAGAATCCCCACGATTTGCATGGTGTTTTCGTCAGATCTGAAACCTTGAAAAAGCGAGTTTCTTGACGATTAACGCGATGCTCCAGATAGCTCAATTGGAACTTAATGACCGGAATGTCCGTGATTCAAACCCAACCTGTGCATCTCAATTGCTCTTGTCCAGGCTTGGACAGTCTGGCGGTAGCACATTCTTTGTACTTCCTTCGAGTCGCACCGCAGCCATACAGATAAAAGATCGTTTTTCGTTTGTCTGTGTAGACCGTATATATAAAAACCTCTGATCACTCGTAGACACCGCAGGCATTAGGGGTTTAGAAGTGCATCTTGACTGATGTGATCAACTTTGTCTTAGTTGTACTCAATCTTTTGTCTTTTCGAAAAGCACTACGCCATGAAAGAAATCAGAGCGGTAAGCATGTGGGCTCAGGTTAATGAGCGATTTGATTTCAACTGTAATAAGGTTGTCTGCGAGCGGTTCTCCAGGCTAGACAAAATAAGAATATTGGCTTACTACTATGTGAACAGAAATCGATTTTACTTGAAGAACCGTTACGAAAGCGTAATAAGAACAACTAATCGGTTGACAAAAGTGTGCAGTTTCGGCGATTCTTGTGCATCAGTGAAGTGAGCATTTGTATCGATCTGTTTCCACTCGGGTTGTGCAATCGACACGTGTTTTGTTTGCTTACCGCAAACATAAGCTTGGGCGTGTGGTTGCGGGAACCAACGGACACTGAGTTCACTGGCTGCAAACACGTTATAACGCGTGATAAGAATAAACTACGGGGGAAAAGTTTGGAACATTTTGTTCGAAAACCGAGGTCCGGTGCTTTCCGACGTGACTTTTATACGAATGCTTGGTAAGTTGGTATGAAGGCTTGTTAATAAGCGGCTGGACTCGCTGAATACGGATGCTAAATAGTGGCTAGCCTCTACATGCTCCGTTTTTCTCTCTTGCGTTGAGCGTTGGACTTGGTTTTGTGCTCATTTCGTACGATGTTTCCGCTCAGTCAATCGAGTAAAGAGGAGTAAAGGAACAAGTCACGTGGTTAGAACTTACGCGTATTTATACGTTAACTTCCCCCCGTCTTAAATTCTTAGACTTCGGCTTATAGTAGACATTCGTGAAGAGGAGAAGTCAGGGGAAAACGAATGGAAGCCGGTTCCGAAAGAAAAGTCCGAAGTGTTCAAGCTGCGCGCGAAAACTCGAAAGCGTTTGGTTGTTGGGCTTCATCAGACCACTGGACTTGCACAGGTCGCCATTGAAAGGTACGTTTTCCAGTCCTCTTCAGGTCATGGTCAGGCCGCCGTTGCAGCCCTGTTCGTTTGCGCAGAAGCTGCTGGATGACCTAACCTTTCGATGATTTTCTAGAGATAACATTTATGTTCACTGTTTTGTTTTTAGTGGATCAGTGAGCGGGTTCCCTACTTTTCATATCCTTCGTTCTGTTGCGTCAAGTGTCCCACACTGAGTAGTTTTATCCAATCGCTCTTTTATACCTTGAAAATGGTTGCGCAAAGACGCGCCTCGACCGATCACCCAATAGCGCTGACAAATTCACCTTTATCGCACCTTCACGAAATCTTTATGACCTCCCAATTAGACTCATCGTTGAGGTCGATTCGTCCTGATCGGATACAAGTTTCGGGATATTCTGCATAGCTCACCCGACCCTGTTTGAAATCTCTGGGACAGCATTTGTCAACCGCCCAGCTCATTCCCGCCGGTTTCAGCCTACGATTGTTTCCCCCTTCTCCCATCGATGTCGGACTGAGAAAGCTCATTCCAATATAGGAATAGTACTGTAGGTCATTCACACTTTTGTAGAGAATCCAATCGCGTGCTTGGAAACGTCCTACCTATCCCAAATCCTCGTACAGTGGTCGACAAAGTGTCTGATTCAGGAACATTCTTGTAAAAATTAAACCAACTCATCGAGTGCTGAAGAGATCTACGTTCTAGCGTTTGTACACGGCTCGTGTCGTTTGTGCTCTCCTACAGTCGATCGCATTTGTGCCGCACGGTCTGCCAATCACGGCCCTGTGGCGTGTGGTCTGAATCAATACTTCCTAATCTAATCTCACCTAGGTGACCCTCATATCGTAGGTGTGTTGTGTTTGTTATGGGACACCTAATTCTGAAAATGTTGTGTACGGAAGCGGGTACGATCGACGGCTATACATGACCTGAGAACGAGCGCACAAATCCCCAGCTGTGACGCGAGCCCCACCACTCCAGACCAGACATAAGGTTGACGGAAACTCGGGCAATGCGCCTACCTGATGAGCCTCAAGAAGGGCGAAACCGGTCGTGGGCTGTCGGAGAGTTTCCAGCAACCTTGGGAGTAGTTTCCTTTATTATTTCGGGTGACCTTGGGGAGCAATAAATAAGTTAGCGCATACAAAGTATAACTTACCTCTAGGAAAGAGGCGCGGTCTTTTTGCATTGGGGTGCAACATGGCGGAATAGACGTGAAATTTAGGAATTCAAAATTTTTGAAAAATAATCTGGCTATAAATCGGAAGACAAACGGTTTTTGGGGATACTGACATCTCCAACAGAAAAGGATGGGTAAAAGTGTCTTTTCTTCTCAAGTCCACTGAACGGCTTTCAGAGCTTTCTCTGACATTAATGGATAGCAGCAAAACATGTGTTCTATTGTGCGCACTCCTCTGTTTCCGCTCAGATGCACGGTACCCATCGGTGGGCTGTTGTCTATAAGCAACTACCACGAACCCAACCCAGGATGAATTAACTTAGCAGCTGTTTTTCTCAGGTCATCATGCACACAGTTTTCTTCCCTCGGATTACTGCTCCAACAATTTTCATATGTTTACGGTTCGTCCGTTCCCGAAGTCTCCATCTTAATCCGTACCGTCAGATAAAACTCAGCTGTTTACATTAAGAGATAGCCGTCAATCCAACTGTCGTGTTTTTTCCAATAGACCGGTGTGAATTTTGGGGGAACAGAGAATTCGCATGTAAGAAGCACTACAACATACGTAAAATGACAAACTTCAAGGCGGGTTAAGATGGACGTTAACTCTCTTTTGAATTATCGAACTTTTAACTGAGTTAGGAAAGGCAGTACCACAAAATTTCAGAGTCAGCGTCTTCTTGGAAGGAAAGAAAAGAGATCAATTCTACAGTGTGTAACTTGATGTAAATGACTGGACAGATAGCAGTGAGCTGGCCGATCAAAATCCATGGGACAGGTAAGAAGATACAAGTAGATACAAGATACAAGTAGAGGCAAGGCAGAGCAAGAGACGCTACCTTGCGACGGTGTTGTAGGCCATCTTCGAATCAAGCGGTTATCGGTGAGGCGCACAATTTCGAGCTGATTGATAGCAACAAGCTAGGACGAACTTGGCCTTTATAAAATTTGAGAGAGTTAATACAAACTGCTGATTACATTCTGCTAGTTACCCATTTGTTCCCACTAAAATTCATCGTCAACTTAATCACTAAGCCAAGCTAGCTCTAAAGCCTTTTTGCATTTCATTGGTTTCGTTGTTGCTCACTCATTACTATCCCCCCCCACGAACCTTGGTTCTTATAGCTGCCTGGATGTTTCGGTCGCTTACGGTCGTTTCATCAATGATTCTGAATTTACTCGCTTGGGACACGGCGAGGTGGACTTACGCGGTGAGGCGGCTTCCACATTGCTTGCCGGTTCAAGTTTTGCCACTTATGTTCAATGGCCGACAGACCACCAGGATTTTGCAATGTTTGATCAGTTGTCTGGAAAAGGTAAAACACAGTCATATGTCAATGTGTATTTGTGACTTTTCGAACTTAATGCCGTTTTCATAAAGGAAACTACTCACAACGTTGCTGAAAACTCTCCGACAGTCCACGACCAGTTATACCCTTCTTGGGGCTCATCAGGTAGGCGCAGTTCCCAAGCACCGTGCTGTCGGTGCTACTTGCCTTCCAGAACGGGGACCGCGTGATCCTCACTGCACCTAGTTGAAAACGCTGCAAGATACGATTCTAACCGATGTCAGTGGCAATCTTGTTTTTAGTTTCTATCTAGATTCCCTGAGTGAATGTCTGGAGGTGTAGGGACCTCGGAATGATTGTGGTAAGCTAGCACTAAGTCCCTTCCTCACCCCCCTTAACTCTTTCCTTCACAATGAGGCTTTCAACTAAATCATGGTTTTACGACAGCGGAGCATCGGTGTTGAACATTGATTTCATGCTGTCGATGATGATTGTCACCTATTATCCATGTCGTTATAAATGGTTATTACTTTTGTCACCCAGGCTACTAAGAAGCACGGTGACTTTTTTTTCGCGAATTTACATTCCACTCTAACGGAAAAGACAGTGTCACTCAGTAAGGGAGGGTCGTTATAAGGCAACTCAGGAAGACCTTTGCTCACCCGGAAGGGAATTTTTAGTGTACCGAATCACAACAGATTCAGTAAAGACATGGGAAAGGGGAGGAACTCGCTGAAATTACACGATTGGCTTACATTACTGGAAGACGTAGTTTCAGGGTGTCGGTCGTGTAAGGGCGATCGGATTACAAAAGGTTCCATTGCAAACAAGGATGAATTTGAATTTCGACCGGCTTTGGGTAGAACGGAAATGCGTAATTGGACATTTGATAGAATCCTCGGTGAATTTATTACGACAGCACCTTGATTGCTACACATTCGTTGATGTCCTATCGCACCTGGAAGCAGTTGTCCTGGTTGCACAGCAGTGGAATACTTAGGGAGCCAGTCAGCACGTGACCAGGTGATGTCAGTTCCTGGTGAGTGGCGCTATGTCCTGTCTGAACACGAGTCACTCCTACGGCAGATTGGCCGCTCGTCGTCGAATGATTTAGGGCTCAGCTACTAGCTTGGACGTGGTTGGTTCGAAATTTCTCGGGTTTCCTGAGGTGCTGCTTACTGTTGATGACTCCGAGTAAGGATGAGGAAGCTGCACTGTGATTCTCAGCCCTTTGACTTAGATTAGCCTCACCCACTGGAACAAATATTGATTAAGAGAACATCGAATAGTGAGAGGATACATTAATTGCCAAAATTCAAGGTGAGTTGCGTGCAGCGTTCTGACTTTGAGAATACATTCAGCACAGTAAATAAGCATTGCGACTGTGCACGTGATCCACATCAGGTGACAATGATGCTATGGTGCGTCCCCTTTGTTAATGGCGTCAAACATTGAACATGACTACATCAAGTACCTTAGTCTTGTTTCTTTGCAGACAGTATTCCTCTTCCCAGATTTTGTGGGTAGAATCATTCGGTCTGTTGCTACTACACTATGAGATCGCGCTTGTTTTTCGCGGATCACCAAAGGTGAAAAACAAGTCTTGCGGCCAAAATCCTGAGCGATCGACAGGGCTTTTGCTTTACCTGAAATGTAACGAAGTTTTTCAGCTCTTGACAACATCGTAGTGTGTTTACTTAGGTCTGAGTGAACATAGAGGCTCCAATTTCATCGCACATTTTTTTAGCATAGTCGGAGGGGCAGTTTTTACAAACCATCTCGATTTACTTCGATCCAACCTATCGATCTGACTCATTAAACTTTAGTTCACTAAGCAAGCATTTGGTTGAGTGACCCGTACTTCGCTGAGGTCTAACTAAAACTGATTTCTGAGACGAGGTACATGTTCCTTCTATCCGGTGAACACCTATTGGTCACGGAGATACTTCTGGTTTCACTACTTGTCATCCGAACGTGATTAATGTTCATTCGGTGATTTATCTTTGGAGAATATTGTCAAAATAACGTTTTACATTTACTCTCTATTGATCTGAGTTAATTCACTTTTACGTTCCCCCGGGAGTTTCACTTGATGGCCGGTCACCCAGTGGGGAGGTATNTTGTAGGGAAACATTTTCACCTCACCGCGCACCTTTCATCCTTCTTCCGGATAAGCGGATGGATATTTCAATCACAAACGCATTGAATATCCGAGAATCATCTCCTTTATAGATAGGTTACACTGTGTCCAAACGTGTTGTATACATGTAACCTATACATGCAATGTTCGCCGTAAAACGCATTCGGATCACTCAACACTTATAGTAATGAACATAAAGACTGGTAGCACGTTCGTCCGGTGCAGCTCACCTTCATGTTAATACAGTACTCCCTCCCTATAAGGAGTAGCCATTCATCACGGCTCCCTGCTTTTTAAAGAACCCTCATCCGGGAAATTCTTTGAATGAAACAGCTCTGCAAATCCGTTTGTGCCTGCTACGTGAAATCCTCTTGGTAACAAAGTTGTCCGGCTATCGATTTGGAGGAGATTTACATTCGCAACGTGATGTTTAACGCGAACGAACCGGCCACCCTTGTCAGTTCCGAGTTTACTTCATTGGTGTTGTAGGTGAATCGGGCCTTACCTGTCTGAAACAATTCAGGACATGACAAATGCTAATTTGTTTGCGATTGAACGCATTATTATGGACTGGATCATTAGCGGAATACACTCGTTTGCAAACTCATTTGTTTTTTCGAGAGACTCACCTGGAACCCAGTTGAATCTCTCGTTTGTGATGTATCCAGGCAACTGAATGTGCTGCACCAGGTCTCCTCATGTTTCAGTCGCTATGATATTCGAGATATCGCGATACATGTGTATCTTTGTAATGTACTGCTCATAAGGTTGCTGAAAACTTGTCGCCACCCCACGGCCGGTTTCGCCCTTGAGGCTCATTAGGTAGGCGCAGTCCCCGAGTTAGTTTGCAAATGAGTGTATTTCGCTAATTTCGTACAATTTGGTTTCAAGTAGAACAAGGTTGACGGAAACTCGGGGACTGTGCCTACCTGATGAGCCCCAAGAAGGGCGAAACCGGTCGTTGGCTGTCGTAGAGTTTTCAGCAACCTTGTGAGTAGTGCATTACAAATGGACTGGATCATCTTTAATGAAGGATTCTTCACGGAGCTGCTTGTCCTTCAACAGAGAGGTTGTGAGTTCTGGCAAATCAGGATAGAGCAATCGAATGTTTGCGAGAGCGGGTTATTGGCCATTGCCAAATTTGGCGCATAATTAAAAACAACACTGGGGAATTGTCGACTGTGTTTTGAGACGAAGGTAGTTCAAAATTGAGATATTTGCTTAACCTGAGCAATTTTCTCGAATACTGGAACTGCGCCCACTAAGTAGTACGGTTTTTGTGTAACCTGACGGCGGCCAAAAAACAGTCTCGAATCTCCTTTAGACTGACCTTCTAGTTAAACAATTTATGGAAGTTGGAAGTAGTTTAAACTGGTATACCTTTTAGTTTCCCGTCACTTGCTGATTACGTCGAGAAATATAGGTGAACTAACCATAGTCTCGAAAACGTCAAAGCAGAAGACACTTGTGAGTGTAAAATGTAATTCCACATTGCAGAACAACTAGGACAGTCCGTGTATATTGAGTTTTGACTTGTGTTTTCCGGGCTTTGTTTTAAACGTTTAATATATTCGAAACTTTTCTCGCGATCGTGTGACAGGATATCCGAGACTGCTACCACGCTGAGCTCTCGCTTAAAACTGGTTGGACGGGGGAAAGCCTTTTAGTGATGCCGTATTAGTATTGACGTGGGTTGTTTTCACTCGTTTGAAGACTGACCAATCTAAACTGACTTCAGCCATTTGTGAACCGACAAACTATCTTGTGTTCTTCTCTACATGGTCTTGCCGAAAAGAAACTCGTCATCCTCAACTCCCTCCTCAAGGGTTTCTTTTGTGATGGATCATCATTGTACTATCCTACACTCAATTAGGGCAAGATGGCTCAATTGAGTAGAGCGCGAATTTACTGGAGGGAAGGTCCATGGTTCAGAACCGACCTCTGCTCCTCGACTCCCCCTGCCTAGGCTTGGGCAACCTGGCAGTATCTCCGCCTTCGTGCTTCCTTCAGGTGACATAGCGGCAAGGCACCGAAAGGGTGTTACAACCGAACGACTATGAATAACGTTTTCTGCTCATTTGTTGGTCGACACCATTCTGTATCATGAAACACAGCTTGCAATGAATTTTCCGGACTCTGTCTGTACTTTTTGACCGAGTTGTTCTCGATTTTGTTCATCAATTCGAACCGTTTAGATTAGGCAGTGTAGTGCAATGGTGGACGCTCTCTGTTTACCTCACACTAATCCACATCCTTTTCCGCGGTGGAACTCTATCTGTTTGAAGTTTTACAGTAATCTGATTCAGGTCCCATCTTCCATAGGGAAAACTCATGCTTGTCTTGCCTAAATTTCCTTTTATTTTTCCGTAGATGAGTGCATCTTCTTCACCGTGTGTGTCCGTTTGGTACTGTCAAGTTTGGACAGGCCCTTCTCGCTCTATCGAGTGTGTCGTGCGCGTATCTATCGATCGGACGAACTGTTCTGGTTGATGGCAGACCGGAAGCCCGTGATACAAGACTTTACCATCCATTTGTCCGAGGTTAGTCAACAGGTTTCCTGTTAATCACCCATAGGACTCTTTGATCATGAGTCTCGCTTCATATATCTGCCAGTAATAGTACCCCTTCCCTGTTGCATCTATCTCCAGTGTGTTCAAGAAGAGGAAACGGTTGTATCTACCCCGATTCCCGAAAATTATCTGCTCAAAGTTGTTAAGTAGTGTGAGGCCCATTTAAATTATTAGTTGAGTCCGCCCTGTTCGAATCCGTCACAGGGGCCCTATTTGTCCACAGCTGATGTGTCGCGTGATCTATGTAGGCACACCTGCTCCCAACGATTTTGCGTGTCCGGACTAACAACTTCACCTGATCTCAGCACGCTGTTGGTTTGACTCAATTCACGGGGTCCGTACTTGAGGTTACGTGGTTCTCAACTTGGTTGGTTCTAATTACGTGGGATTGATCCCATTCAGTCTATCGTGCGGAGAATTCTATATAAAGAAGATATGACCTCGAGCAATGGCAAGTTGCGGACGCTCTCATAAATGCATACGGGGTCACTTGTTTTTCTATTCTTTGGCAAGTTTGGGAATTAATCGGGTGCAAACACCGTGCATTGTATGATACTGCGTTATTATTCAACATTCAATACTGTTATTATTCAATTCGAGGTGGTCAACTTCATCTTCATTCACCACATCCTCGGTTGCTTTCAGAAAGCCATCTGCGATTGCTTCTTCATATCGATCGAATCCGTTTTTTTTGTTGATCTCATTGCAGTACGTCGATGAAGAACAGAATTTATTCATCGGCCGATTTGTTGAAGCACTCAAGATAGTTCCCTCTGGCTTGACTCAAGGCCCCACAAGTGTTGGTCCAAGCCCACAGTCCACACTGGCAGTTGACCTCAAAACGGGTAAGCCTGTGGTGACTTGTGCTCCAAAATCTGTTTGACCCATTTTTATACGCCCCCCCCCCCCCGAAATTCTCGTCGAAAGACTGGCTTCTTGTTCTTTGCCCTCCCGTGAAAGAGTTGTTTTTTTTCGGGGGAAAGGAGGGTTAGATAAACCCTGTTTCCAAACCAACAACAATGAACTATTCCGCCGGTTGTTGAATGTCTCCTTTCTGCCACTGTAGATGGTTGACCGCGCTAATAGTTATAACGAAGTCGCCAGCCGCGTCGTCCGCAAACGTGAAAGCGAGTTTTGTAAATTTGCACGGTTGGCACTTCCTTCTAGGAGATCAGCTAAAAACATGGATTGGTACTGTCATAACAGGTGCGCGATGGTTCGGTGTAGTATATGTTATCCGTTACGGACACCGACATTATGTGGATCTAGCATCCAACCGTATGAGCCATTCACTGTGGATTAAACCTACGTACGACCTGGTTCACTTGACTGCAACACGCCTACTTCAAGCCGCCAGTAAGATTTTGGCTTCAAATTGGAAAACGATAACCAAATGAACTTCCCTTTTAAGACACAACAAACAGGCGACCAGGAATAATATCGCTCTTGTAACACTGTGCAGCTATTCATTTACAAGTGTGTATCTGGTGCAGAAACTTCACCGTTTTTCGGCTGGCGTCAGCTTACCTTTTGTTCTTGATCACCATTTTTTTCTGTTCTCTTTCTCCTCCCCACAGGATCTTTCGACAACGAGGATGACGATGAAAATGAACCATTGATGAGCGGTCACGGGTATGTATCACAAGAGGTCACCGACGATCAATTGCTGAAAGACTGGGGATCACTCATTCCTGAATGGCATGCCAAGCTGAAGGAGAACCCACCTCCACTGTGCCCTTCGGCTAGTAACCCTGATAAATTGCTACTGAGCGGAACAATGGGACCACGGAGCGAGGTTGTAGGTAACGCGTTTTGGTTACGAATCAAACGCCTGGTGAATCTTGGTGTTCCGGATGCCCTGCGTGCCGAAGTATGGCCATTGTTGGCTTCATGCACCTCGGGAGAATCGGATTTAATGAGCGTCTATCGAATTTTACTCACAAAAGTAAGCAGTTCTCGACGTTGTGGTTATTTCTCTTGTTGCTAGCTAAAGGTGAAAAACAATGCAGAAGCGTTGGTACTGCGATTGTTTTTCTCATGACTGTAAAGAGGGCTTATGTTAACTGTAGTCCCATGAGCAACTGATCTCCTCTCGTTTATACCTGCAAATCTAAATTCATCATATTTGTTGCTCCATTCATTTTCGTAATGTTTTTCTGATTGGTTCATCAATCTGTTCGCTCAAGTTATTGACATTTTGTCTCTACTAACGCACATCGGTGTGTCCGCCCTTCCTAAGTGCGCCCGTCTGGTTTACAAACGACTATCTGTTATGTGGAACGTCGTAAGACTGTGAGAGACCTTTTCCTCGTAGCTGTTCGCGTCTTGTGTTACATTTCCGCCTGTCTTTTTAACGTGTGATGAGAATATTGCAAGCTTCGAAATAGTTCGACGCTACCAGTGAAAGAAAGAGGACCTTCGCTGCGGAGTTATTTATTAGAAAATGCCAACTAACCGGTTACGGACCATTGGACAGGGAAACAAAACTCTCATTTGCATCTTATTTACAAAAACTGGACCTCCATCTTCTCCTGAACGCGTCTTCTTGAACTTCCCTGGATATTCATTGGCTCCAACCAATCATCGCTCAAATCCAAGCAAATGTTACAAAGCAACTCCACAAATTCCGCAATAGATCGCCCCTTTTCAAGAGACGCAAAGCGAAATTCCAAGAACAACACATACTACTCGCTTGCTTCCCCATCGGTAGTGGCACCGTCACACCAGTACACAACGGCCTTGTTCTTAAAGTGTTCGTAACCAATAACTCACCTAATACCTCTATCAATCGTGTTCCTACCCTCAACGCAATGTCGGTCTTACTTCGTCTCAATTTTGTCTCGTTTACCCCGGCAGCCATGTAAGCACGATGCCGTGATTCAGCGTGATCTCGCCCGCACATTTCCCGCTCACAGCTTCTTCCGCCAACAGGTCGGGCAAGAGTATTTGTTTCAAGTTGGTCGAGCCTACGCCCTTTACGATGAGGAGGTTGGCTATTGTCAAGGCCTATCCTTCTTTGCTGCAGTACTTTTGCTGCATGTAAGTTGCACATCGCTCAACACTGACTGTTGATACCTGTTTTTTTACTAGGTTTCGTGTTTCACTCATACCGTTGGTTCGGACGCTGCCCTCCGATAACTTACCTTTGTTTTTTACTCGTTCGTTCGTCCACAATTCGCAGGTCTCAGTCGACTTTGAAGAGGACACGCTAAGGCTAAGCATAGTTTCGTAGCCTTTGAAGTAACTTGTTCGAATTCCTATATGATTTCTCGTATAAGATCCGTGCTCGAGAAGTACCTGTAACAGATTGTTCGTACCTCAAATTCTTTGCCCTAATTCCCTTGACATACGTAGAGTGTAAAACATTGAAAGTGGTTTTAGCCTTCACCACTTCCTCGGCGACACTGCTTTTAGTGCAACTTAGATTCAGGATCCGGAATCGGGTCCTCTTAACATGTGTTTTGAAAGCAAACTGATCGGCCACACTTCTAATCGAACCTTGCTGAAGTTTTGTTGCACAGTTCGCTTTCCACTGACCTGTTGTACGACAGTGGTTTCTTCACTTCAACCAGCATGACGAATTGCTGATCGAACGGATTAGCTTTCACTCGCTCTGTTTGTTAGCCGTAATCCAGCGTGCACGGGCCGGTTCGCATGTACTTTACAATTGGCTGTTGCACATGAACTCAGTCCTTATTCTGTGTTGGTTCAATGTCTCAATTTCACCAAGTGACGGATGATGCACGTTGCATGGAACCACCGCTCACAGCTGTGCTGCATCTGATTTTCCGGGTCCAAGGCCATCGCGGAATGGCAGCAGCAATAGTGTAGACACTATCCTTGCCAGGCTTCTTGAGGAGTTTGTCTCCGTATACCTATGCTTCTGCCCCCATCGTGATTATCCTGATTATTTCACACCAGCTGGGTAGCGATGGGTTGCAGCTCCGCCTTCGCTAGAGCTTATCAACACTGCGCGGTGGACCGTACTGTGAGTTGAATCCTGGTCACTTGGGTTGGATTCGAGCTTGTCACCATCACTCCAGTGTCCCGTCAGAATGGACGAGATTGTTCACGCTTGAAGGCTGTATGTAACTTGGTGTCTATCCTGTTGTACGACGTAGTACTTGGCTCAGTTCGGTACTGTTTTGTGAGCCATAACAAGAGTGACCAACCAGAGTGCTTACGTCAATTCACCACTTCAACAGATGTCGCAGGTAATCATTTATCACCAAGGAATGTTTATGGCTGAACTGGTTCACATTCCCTACGGACAGACAAGGTCTGGCCAATCCTGAAACCACACTCTACAATGCAGTTCATTCTGATTGAACCTGTCAGATGGGTTTAAAGGGATCTTTCACGTTACGCGGGTTTGTTGTTCCTACTTTTGACTGTAAATCTGGGTAATCCTGACCTGTGAACGAATCAAAGTGGCCGGTAGCTTCTCAATCGATATATAAAGTAGTTGATGCTCTGGAGATGCGCCAAAATAGATTCGTGACCAACCGTGTGTGGGGTATTGTCGGGTCGCCCGGGTCCAAATAGAAGTAAGCAGTTGTGCTCTCAAACTCCGTGGTTACTTCTTTCTTAGGGTCCCAGTAGGGGGTGAGGTGGCCCAAGTGGATAGAGCGTGAATTTACTGACCGACCTCCGCCTCTCGACTTCCCCTGTCTAGGTTTGGGCAACCTGGCAGTATCCCAGCCCTGGTGCTTTCTTCGGGTGGCATGGCAGCTAGGCATTAGAAGGGTGCTACAGCTGAACTCCAGGGTCCCAGTAGCTGCTTTAGTAAATCCTATTTGACCGTCATTCACAGGCGTTGGAACAGATCAGTTCAGTAGCTTGTGAACATCACACTCCCTATTGAATACGGACGCATATTTTTCAGGACCCTTACCTGTAATTGACGGGCCACAGTACGCATTCCGAACCAAAGCACCCACTTAGGGCTGGACGTTAAATTTAACTCGAGTGCCCCCAGCTTCTTGTTTGATTCCATCTTTCGTTTCGCAGGTGTTCACTGGCTTCACAGAATCGATTATGACTTGTGTCCAAAAACGCATTCTATTTTGTTGGTAGCTTGGATTTCAAGTGGGAAACTGGTCGAATGTTTGGTAGATGCGATGTACAGTGTGTTCTTCCGCTTAGCCAGACGATGGTAACGCCGGTTGCCTGTTATATGTTAATCTCGATCATCGTACTTCGTCTCTTAGTTGTCATTCAGATAGTCCGTTAAACGAAACGCCGGGTCCAGAAAGACATTGCAGCCCTCGGCTAGCATACTCTGTACGCTATCGCTTGAATGTCATGGTTTGCCATCATCCAACGAAACATTGCCCTTATCTTCCAGATGCCCGTGGAACAAGCGTTTGCGCTCATGGTCCAGGTGAACAACCATTACGGTGTTCGGGAGTTGTTTCTGAATGACTTTGACGGACTACACATGCGACTTTATCAGTTGGAGAAAATTGTCCAGGTGAGAGTTTATTTTGTGTGTGTGGGGTCAACCATTTTATCATTAGATTGTGATATTTCTGCCTATCATAGCCACTTGGTAAATATGCCAATGACTCTATCCTCACATCTGATGTTTATCTGTTCTAAGGTATCGTTGGGTAAAAGAGTGAATCACGATCTCAACTCGCCGTTGGTTAGCCCACCTAGCTTCGGGGGCGTATTGTGCTTAACATAGTTGCTGTATCGCTTCCATCCGTTCTGAGTGCTCGGTTTTCAGTCACGATCCGTTTGTTCCGGATTGTGACTGCACCTGCGAACTCCAATCGGTAGCCAGGCTTTCTGAAATGCCTTAACCAGGAATGTTAATCACGTTGTCACTTGTCTGGGAGGACTCACACATGGCCAGAAGATGGCGATAATAACATCTATTATTTTCATGATTCCCTCTTCTCTTTGGCTCACGTTTTCGTGTGATAAGAATAGGGATCTTGTAGTAGCAAGAACAAGATAGTGTCCGACAATCGGACAATTAACTGGCATCCGAATCCCTTATCCGCCACTAGGAGAAGGAATTGGGCGGAACTGTTTTGTTCGTCTCCTGTCCATGTGTTGATTTCTTCTATTTTTTATATTGTACAACGCGATTCCCCTTTGTTATTTTGGTCTGTGCTTTTTTGTTTGTTTTTGTTTTGTTTTTGACCTGAACGTAAACCGTTCTTTGACCTTGTCATCGGACGTATCGTTTAAGTTCCCACGTGGTTTCGCTAGCTTGTAAACACGTGGCTCCGAGTCGGTGTGGACTTTGAGACCCGTTAGGAATTAGCAGTTCCTAAACCGGTGTATAGAAGCCGGCATAGTCCCACGATTTGTAAAGCTTTATCATTTTATTATTGTACTTATAGTACCGCATTTGTAGATAAACCTCCATTTGGGGCTTTGCGCTTAACTCGACGTGGTTCAACAGATTGCTGGAATCAATCTATACCATGTAAATTTCTTCCGGACCCTACTACTACGGAAACTGAGGTTACCAAGAATGACCGTGTTGGGCTGGCTGTACAACCAGTAGCCTTGTTCCGTAGCTGGTGGAAAGAGTGATCTCCTCTCCCGCATCCAAAAGACGAGGTGTCGAGATCGTTAGTCGCGCTCACCGTGTGCTGCAAATGTGACCTTCGAATTCCTTCAGACCAAGAATTCTGCCTGGAGTGGAATTCGATACAGCTGCGAGTGAAGGAACGGGAGGACATCTTGCAAGATCTTTTCTCCGCCTGCTGTATAACCTAATCAGTTAACCTAACTATGCCTTTGTGTAAATAGTGAAATCTCGACCAGCAATGAATCTGCTGATTGATTGCAGTGTTATGGAACGGTGACTTCTCGTCAAACAAACAAGGACAATATTGTTTATAAACAGGAGTTCCGGTTGAAGCTTCATCAGGCATGTAATGTTTTCTATAAAAGCGACATATATTCGCTCTCAGCTGAGACTTTTAAGAAGAGGTCATTGGTCAGCCGTGTCAAGGTCAACGCTTTCACGTGACTTTTTCTTGATAGAATAATGGTTAGTGTAACCTGATTGTTATGGATTCTACTGTTCCTGGTGGCGTCTAGTGAATCCAGCTGATTGGTTTGCTGGTGTGATCTCTATGGACAAGATGGTTTGGAGTTGCACGTGTCTTTTACTGCGACGGCTCTTGTGCCTCCGTGACCCATTGATCTATACTGGGTTGTGTCCGTGCGACGCTCACAGTTTTTCATACCAGAATGGTCAATAGTTAGTGATCTGAACAACACAGTCTCCTGGCCATCCAGGTTGGGGAGGGAGAATGTACTTGGCGACTTGCTCTATAGAAATGGCAATGCGCTTGCGTTTTCCACCAAATTCCGCTACCTTGCGGTCAGCCAAAAGCTGTGGTCGAAGAGCGCAATTGTCCTCTTTCCTAAGTCTGGGTGCCCTGGCAGAATCCCATTTCACGTACAACCATAGTGTCTTCGACTGATAATACTCGGATGCGAAATGGGCCTTCGCCTGGTGTCCGCAACTGGGTCGGCTTATTTGCTGCATACAGCAAGACGGGTAAGTGAAAACAGGCTACTGCTGACACCTTCCTTCTTATATTTTCACGTATTCCTTGTTCTACCGTACCCCATTCCAATTTGAATATGTTCCATGTCCCAGCACTAGGACTGACCGATTCGCTCGCCTTGCAGCACGCTCATTTGGGGCTTCTGTTTGTCCGGATTCAGTGCCGACCCTGAAAGGCTGTTTTAAAACCCCGAAAACCTAACCTAAAAATCCAAGCTGGAAAGTGACGCCATATCCTGTCTGGGAACGAGCTAATCACACTGCTAATCAGTGGCTCTTGGTCGAATGGTTAAGTGTTCAGACTACGAGTCGGGGGTTCGAGACTCTCTGGAGTTTCGTCCGATGCGCACTGCTGATTATTCGCAATAAAGATGAAACAGCTGAACAGTGCTCCTCGGGTTTACAGCATAGATTGGCTTCACCTTCACGAACAGTTGGAGTATGTGCCACTTTGGCTCAGCGAAAGAATTTTTGGTCACAAGCGTCTTGTTTTCAGTCAGTTTCAGACTGTAAACGTTTGGGATACTGTCGTAATTCGAGTAGAGCCATGTGAGGGAACAGAAAGGGGTTAAGACTGAGATTCTTTGTAAGGACCTTGGAAGGGTATCAGGCACGTGCACTTTCAACATTCCAGGTAGATGCCCCTGTTCTTCTTCATCCTCATTTTTAACAACTGGGACAATGTTGTTGAGATGCTTTTTTTCATACACAACGCAGTTTTCCTATGTTTCACGGCTTCCTTGACTCTGTGTGTATCAACCGGTGTCAGCACTGGGGGGTATTCTTATACTCTTGTGCAGTCTATGACCTTGTCGGTACTTAACTGCACGTGAAAGATAGCGCAGAAAACTTGAGAGTGTGTGTGTGGTATGTACAGTCATATATTGACGGACTAGCCAGTTGTTTTATTCAGAGTCATGCTCATCCGATTATGAAACGTGGAATGGTGACTCAGTCGCTACAAAAAGTTGTGGATCAGGGCCCAGAGTGAAGCTCTCCAGGAACCTGCGTCCCCCCCAAATGACGGACAGCCTCCACCTCGATAACTAACGTTTCTTCAGCTCCACAGGCGCATCTTGTGCTTCTTAGTCAACTTTGCTCCAGAGATTTCGTATTGTGTTCACCATTCAAGCACGTCTTCATGTTTCACCTCATCCGCTTTACTGCTGAAGTCACGCATTCTGTAATGTCCTATCGACTTTTTTCTCGTAGGATCAACTCCCCGACGTGGCCAAACACTTTTCTGAATTGGGTCTGGAGACGCATATGTACGCGAGTCAATGGTTTCTGACGCTGTTCACCGCCAAGTTCCCACTGCAGCTCGTCTTTCATATTGTGGACTTGTTTCTGGCTGAGGTTAGTCCTTTTTTTTCCTGGCAATCGAGATGGTTAGAGCGCAGATTTCTGGGCCGGAAGGTCCATGGTTCAAATCTATCTCTGTTTCTCGATTTACTCTATCTAGGTTTGAGTAATCTGGCATAATCGCAGCCCTCGTGCTTCCTTCGAATGGTATCTAGGCACTGGGCCGGAAGGTCCATGGTTCAAATCTATCTCTGTTTCTCGATTTACTCTATCTAGGTTTGAGTAATCTGGCATAATCGCAGCCCTCGTGCTTCCTTCGAATGGCATGGTATCTAGGCACGGAAAGGGTGCTACAGCTGAACGATTTCATTGCCAAATTTCTTTGATAGACTTTGATAGGATGCTTGAAGTAGATTTCGACCCGCATATGCGACCGCCTTGTGTAATCTTAGTCATTTTGCAAATTGTTGGGAAGATGGTGCGCAAAGCAAGAGCGTTGAGGGTAACCGATGTAATTCAGGGGTACGATCCATTGTTCTTAGAAGATAGACGCGACGTGATGAAGCTCATTTCTTCCGAATCGCCTATAACTATTCGTCACCCAAAAGAAGAGGTGAATTTCTAATCAGTAAACGTAAACGCGAGGATCCAGTGTTTTGTACGTAGAACCCTTGCCATGACTCATTCAAACACAGAATGTTTAGAATTACTCACTCCCAAAAGTCACCCCGTGGATAAAATTACTCATATCACATCCCTACGAAACAGTGGGTAGATCCGTCCTACGCTATCAGCCAGCAAACTAGGCTGAACTTTTTTTCATTCTGTGGGTGTGCTTACAAAGCACAAAGAGCAGGCTCAGTACGGTCATCTGCAGGGCACTTTCTCGGCACCACTGTACTGCAGTTAGGTACGCGCACGCATAACTGGTATGCTGCTATGAACGATTATGACAATCACAGCTGTCCATCCGTGTTTGATCCTCTTTTCTGATAACATTGACAGACCAGACGATCTCAAAAGCCCCCTACGCATCTGGGTGTACGCAAGCAATCCGAATTTCAGCTGCTTTGGAAGCTACGGCTTCCCTTTGAATGGGCTGCATATGCTACGATTGTAGTAAGGCGTCACATTGGGTGAAGTGTATACAAAGAGTGCTTCATTTAATGCTACTTGTTGCCTTCATTATCCAATCTTACACCAGCTTGAATTTCCGCTTTTGTTCTCAACTCAGGGTATGGTCTTCATCTTGAAAGTCGCGTTCACTCTGCTACGATTGGCCCGACGTGATTTGCTTGGACTCGATTTCGAAGGTGTCCTGAAGTATCTGCGCGTCACCATGCCCAAACGGTTTATCGATGTGGAGGCAGGAAACGAACTGCTAACGATGGCGTTATCCGCACGGGTGCGTTTCGGTCTCATTTAGTTCCATGTGAAATTCTGCTTCTCCCGGATATTGCTTGCTCATTTTCGTGGTGTTGTCTGGAGATCTCATTGTGCAGATAATCAGTGAATTCCCTCAGTTTTATATACACTGTAAGAGGACAGTCTGCAGGCGATCGTTTTGTCGTGCGAGTTCGAAAATCGCTCTTTAAGTGTGGTATCGATTGAGTCGGAATGCTACAAATTTCGTATATTTTGGATAGCCATCTCGTACTAGGGGCATATTTTTGTAATCAATATTATTAGATTCTTTTTCCGAACGTGGGTCCAGTGCCAGATTTTCAACCTTCCTTCTTGAAAACGCAGCGATTTCACTTGGGCTAGTAGCTCTGGATTTCGATATCCGGAGGTTCCAGTGCTGGCTAGCTGGCCGACATTCGATCAAATTGACCCTGATATCGGTGTAATCTAGGGTTTGAGCCTATATAATTTGAGTACTTAGTTAGTGATCGGTAGCTTTGGGACTTTTTATGAGAGCGATAACACGGCAAGTCTTGATAGGTTCGGGCGCATCCATTTTTTCCTCAATCATGTCGTGATCCATCCACCTTAGTCGCCTGACTTCTCACGTTCAGTGTCGGCGGCTTAGAAATTTCCAGCTCCTGTATGCCCAAGGAGCCGTGACTTAAAATTTCGTGTCTGGCGCGAATCTACTGACCGGAAGGTCCGTGGTTCAGACCCAATCTCTGCCTCTGGACTTCCCCTGTATGAGCTTGAGCAACCTGACAGTATCCCGGCCCTCGTGCTTCCTTCGGATGGCAAGGCAGCTAGAAACCGAAAGGGTGCTACAGCTGGACTATTTGTATTCTATTTTTTCCACAATAATATGCGGTCCGCTTACATGTACCTACTTTTGGGTGATGGTGCCTGTGCTTTTGGTGAATCATACAAGGTCCGTGACATGTCAGTGTCGACCCTCACGTACATCGTCTTCATTCTCATCTGTAGTGAATGCCTTTTGAATTCTGTTAATCGAGTCATGGTCGCTCTGGTCCGATCGAAGCAGTGCCAGTTCCCATCAGCATTAACCCAGAGGATGGTGGGCTTGTTCCCTCACACTGGTCGTGCCGGGCACTGCGGCATATATTATATGTTGATGATTGGTTCATGGTTAACGACCCTTGTAAACGTGAGAAAAAATGCTGATTGGATGCTTGTTATCGGACGAAAATTGCGGTCTGCTTTCAGCTTAGATTTCCTAATAGATTCTTTTATCCGATTGGGGCGGACACGAAGCTAGGCCGGATTGCATTGAGGTTTACATGTTACTAATCACTGGCTCAGTAGTAGGACGGTTATTCGGAAAGTTTATGCTGTTTGTGCAACTGGTGATCTTCGTCTGTTTTGTCGACGTCCCAGTCTTTTGGAGCGTGGGTTTACTCGTATTGAATTCCCGTGTGAGTTTGGCCCCAATAACCGTTAAATTAATTTCTGACTTTCAGCTAGAACGAACGAGCTTATGCCCCAGGAGACAATGTTTTTCCTCTCCTTTTATTTAACGTTCATCTTCTACACTAGGTTGATGAAAAAGCATTTGGCTAATGCATGTGCCCTAAGTCGGAGGATTCCATCAATAGGCTATCGCCAAACCGTGGCATTTTAAGTCGATTCATAGTTTTTTCACATTCCAAATGGCTTGACGCTGTCCAACCGGAGGCTGCAGAATTTTGGCTGATGTGCTGGGACAGTTCCCAGTCGCACGAACGAGGATCTCAGCAACTTCCGGAATTGAAGCGGAAAGATGAAGTGAACGACACATGTGTTACACAAATTAGCTGACCCACCCTGTCCCGTCTAGTTAGTTGTTGGAGTCACCAACCCCCAAGGATCATGATTAGTCTCTCGATGATCGACACCTACACATTTTCTTCATTTTTTTTACCTCTATCGCGTAGCGGAGCCATGCCGATTACGGACAAAGATCTGTATATCGCATTTGTCCAGATAGAAACTTCTTGAACCCACGGGTCTGGTTAGAAACCCCTAAACTACGTATTACGGTGAACTTCTATTCTATCGAACATTCAGCAAGGAATGAACTTGCTAACTCTTCTACCCTGTGGCTGCCTGCATTGTGCGGACCTCGAAAGGGTTTACTTTTAACATGCATGGCTGTGAGACTTGGCCTACTCGAGCAGCGGAACTGAGACGTCTTCAGGTGTTCGACAATCTTTGTCTCAAAACCATAGCCCGTGTGGGTTCGTGCCGGCGAATCCGTAATGAGGCAGTTAGAAAGCGCGTTTTCGCTTGTCCAACGGGTACTTCCATAGAAGAGTGTGTCCATCACCAGAAGCTGCATTGGTTGGGACATGTGCTGCGTATGCCGAACCATCGTTTGCCGAAGAGTGCACTGTTTTCCATGCCCAATTCAGAGAGGCGGCCAACCCTTGACTTGGTAGATCAATATGAAGGAGATCACGAAGCGCTTGGGTTCTGTCGGTGCTACTCGCCTTCCAGGATGGGGACCGTGTGCTCCTCACTGTGCCTGGTTGAAGAGACTACAAGTTATGGCTGCCAACCGATGTCAGTGGCGTTCTTGTTGTCAGTTTCAATCCAGATTGCCTGAGTGAATGTCTGGAGGTATAGGCACCTCGGAATGATTGTGGTAAGCCAGCACTAAGTCCCTTCTCCGCCCAACTTTGCTCTTTTCTTTACACTAAGGCTTTCAAATAAATCATGGTTGTACGGCAGTGAAGCATCGGTGTTGAACACTGATGTCATGCTATCGATGACGATGATGATGATGATGACCTATAGAGAATTTTTTGTGAAACCATGGCTAAGGTTTAGGTTTATGTAACCACGATGTACTGCTCATTTTACACAGTTTTTCGTCTTGTTCTACCAGAATTGCCGCGAAGTTAGGGTCAGAGACAGATTTCGTTTTCATGGGAAATTCAAATCAAATGGTTGCCTGACTACCATGGATTTGTGGTAAAAGTCGCCGGCTGCATTGCAATGAATTTGTCGAGAACTTCGACTGTTTCTGTCATCAGTCATCCTCACTTTGAGAGTTCTACAGATTCCAGCCCAATGTGAATCCGGGTTTGTACCCGGAATAGGAAACTGACCGTAAACCAACACGCGAGAAGGAAAACCCTGGTTCGATATGTTAAGCCACATTTTCAAATGATTTGTGGGTTCGTCCGTCTCTGTTGCGCCATTGTAGACATTGAACACCATTGCGGTCGCTTTGGGCACTATTCCATTTCATTTTTCTCCATTATTGACTCTCTCCGTAACTCTTGCTTTGGATTCACTACCAGGTCAGCTCATCCAAGCTGTGTAAATACGGTAAAGAATGGCGTGCAATGAGAGCCGCACAGATCGAATCGGACTCGCCAATCCAAGCACTGGAGCGGCAGGTGGCCGCTCTGCGCAATCAGGTCAATCATTTGGAACGCGAGAATGAAGCTCTTGCGTCCGGTCTGATTTCCAGCAAAACTTCCATGCATCGGCAAGTAGACAGAGTGAGTTTTTCAAGTGTCCCGCGTTAGTCCATCACCAGTCCTTGAACCCGTAGTTCCTGATCCGTTGTTTGGGCGGCGCCCACGTCAGACCTCTCAACACCAACTTAACTTCTATCGACATTCCTGCGATTCCTACTCATCCTCATTCACATCAGTTGGCGAATCCGTCACGTATCTATTGATATGAGCTTGTCAGCAGTGTATATCCGTGGTCGTGTCTGGATATTTTACCATCCGAAGTGAGCGTGCTATCACTGTTTCAGATCTACCTGAATTATTGCATCTCAGTAGGCCGGACAATTTACATTTATTCACAGCTTCACAATGCGATCGGAATGTTTCTTTGCATTTCTCATCCTAGATTGTGATTGTTTGGACTGTTTTGTCCTCTAGTGAATTACATAGTATGTTTTTTTCAAATTTCTTACTTGAACTTTAGTCTTTCGTCCTTGGTTCGGGGAACTGTTTTCGGGAAGTTCGTGTAGCTTGATACCTCTACAAATCGTCGAGTTGTGGGGGGAGGCTTTAATGGTTAGCATGGTATCGGCGGGGGATTTCTGTGTTTCTTGTCTCTATAAGAGCGTTGCGATTTACGGTCGGATGCTGACTCATTATAGGTTCTAACAGTACGCAGTTTTGTGCGCAAAGTCCCGATAGGACAGTCCTCAGTGTTTCAGGCCACCTCCATTTTCCGGATTCTTCCTCTCCAAGTTTGGACAACCTGGCATTTTCTCATCCATGTATTTCCTGTAGCTTCACTGATGGTCTCAGCACTCCCTTAAACAGTTTATCATGAGGAAAGAGGTAGTTGCTTTCTTCGAGAGGTCGTGCGCTTGGTCTTGGTTGACGGTGAACATTGCAGGCTTTCCAGAGGTTTACTGTCATTCGCAATTTCTCAAGTTCATGTTTTCAATGCCTGAGCACCAGCTACCGTATGTGCTTTTTTGCTCCGCCAACAACAAACTATGTCTCAGTGGTGCGGGAATTCCGACCATCAGTGTAAGTGACAACAATTGACTCCCGAATAGGATTCTTTACTGTACTAGGTGTGAAGTTCATCCATCATCCTCATCGATAACATAATGTGGTGCTTCATCACCGCCCTTCTTTCATGGACATCCCTTCTTTGAAGGGATGCAGTGGAGGAAAATTGGGGACTGAAATGTGATAGCCCGGAACAACCTCCAGACACTCGTTTGGACAGTCTAGATAGGAACGGACAACAAGAAAGTCGCTGACACCGATTAGCAGAATTGTGGTACCTCCAGCCAAGCTCAGGGAGAATCGAGCACAACCTGTCGTGGAGGAAAGTTTGCCGCAGCACCGTCTTTCGTTTTTCGAGGAATATCGTCTAACGTATAGCTTGGTTTCGTCTGTTACGGTTTTTTAACTGTGGATTCAACTTTTGCGTTGTATGTAAGCTGACGGAACACAGCAGTGTTCATAATATTTTTTTGAGCTATCGGTATATCCTTTGATTTCATCTGCTTACCCATTTCAGCTCGAAGATAAGGCAGAGGTGTTAACCCGTGAGCTTTTCGTTTCGAGGCAGGATCTTCAAGACACCTTGGAAGAAAAGCACCATCTGGAATCCGAAGTGACACAGGTACAATTTGTTCTTCATAATTTTTCCACCACAACAGTGTTCATCGATGTCCTCTCTTCAGAGCAACTTCTGGGACAATGCAACTTTGGGTTGACTTTTGGTCACCGCGCACCGAATCAACTGCGAAAGTGACTTTCTAGGAGAGAGTCAGCTAAAGTGTCCAAAGAACGAGTTTTGTAGGGTGCGCTGCCCTCCTTGTAGTCTTTTTTCAGCGAACAATTATATCAAAAACTGGGATCAAAACAGTGCTTATCCTGGCACACAACTTGAGTCGCGACCTAAAGCTGCCACCTTGACGTGGTAGTCGGGCTTGAGTGCTGCAGCGATCCCGTGGGCTACACCTGCTGGAACTTCGTTCCACAAGGTGCAACCATGCCAGCAAGGCCAAATGGGAGCAGCCAGACCAAGAGCAGCGAGACCCCGTACTACGAGTAATCGTGCTACGAGGCGGTCTGGGGGTAAAGTCGTACTGTCTTCTGCGACAGGAGTGTGAAAGCAGTAAGGAGTTTCCCCCAGGCGACCAGCATGTCCATATTTATGGAAGCAGCGATGCTGCCTCCCCCTGAAGAAGGACGGGTCAGAAAAGGTCGGCCCCAAAAACCGCACACTCCGATCGCCCAGCGGTTAACCGTGACCGCCGGCGCATTATCCAATACGGTCGATATACTTTTAAAACCAAAGAGCCCGGTGCCGCTCAAAAGGCACCTGCTGTGCGCAGCCGCATCAGGAATGAGACAGTAATGCCTTATTCCCTGCGCCCTCTGGTTATGCCAACCCCCTGCAGCCGAGTAGGTCAAACTGTTGAGTCGTCGGCTCCGGGCAGGGTCCCCAAAGGAAACCCTACATTTTCCCGCTGCCTCGTGGGTCAGACTTTTGAGTCAGAGGCTAGGGTCAGGGTACCCGAACAAAACCCTACGTCCTCCCACTGCCTTGTGGGTCAGACTTTTGAGTCGAAGGCTCAAGTCGGGGTACCTCAACCAAACCCCCTTCCTCGGCCTGGGCAACCGGGAAGTATCATTTGCCCTCGCAGTTCAGCGTCCACCGATGACCCTCCCCACCCGCTTCCCACCGCACAAGAAAAGGTCGCTGGGCCATTTGACTGTCAGTTATCTGCCCGAAGGTCCTTATGCTCCTCGCTGCCTACAAAAAATAAACAAAATAATAATAACAGGCAATGCTTGCTGAACGCTTGTACTCCCTTAAAATCGATGTATGCTGTGTCTCCGAAACACGCATACAAGACCCGAGCGTGGTTGTGCATCTCAAAACGCCAAGGCTGAACTCAGCTCTTTCACACTTCTCCCTCCGTGTGTCCGGTGACCCAGGAGTGACGACTCGTGGAATATATGGCATGGGAGTCGCACTCAGCCCCTGAGCCGAACGCGCTTTGCTGGATTGGATCCCAGTGAACAGTCGTCTCTGCGCCGTCCGGTTATCCAGCTCAATCAAGCTCAATGCCTCGCGGCATAAAAAGCGGTGCCTGTTTGTCGTGTCGGCTTATGCCCCGACGGACTGCAGTTCTGATGCGGAGAAGGATACTTTCTATCG